GGGGAGGGGCCGGCGCTCTCCTGCCTCCTAGGCGATGCGGGAGCGGGCACCCGGCACTATGCGCCAGGCCCTGGCTCCGCAGCGCGCCAGCGGCATCGCCCTGCCCGACTCGGCGGGTAAGTGCGGCCCTCAGCCCTGCCTGGGCCGCGGGGGGGAGCCGGGGGTCTCGCAGACGGGCCGCCTCGGCGCCAGGGGCAGGTCCTCCGACAAGGCCGGGGCACCCGGGTGCGGCGTGTGGCTCTGCCCCCGCGGCTCGGCAGGTGGCCGGTAGTCGGTGGCAGGTGTCCCTGGCTCGGCTACTAGCCGTGTGCGTCTGGGCGACTCGTATCTTGTGCTGTGGTTTGTGCTCCTCCGTACGAAACCCGACGCCGTCATGTCCTCTATTTTGCTCTTCGAGAGAAACTTCACTGTCCATAGAGGGACATGGTCCTCTGCGATGGCCAACCCTGTCCCCGGGGCCTTCACGTTGGCAACGTGTCGCACCCCTGGGAAGTGCCAGCCACGAAACTGGAAGAGATCGGTCACTGGGGACCCTCCCCGGTTGGCGGTCTGGTGCCCCCCCAGATTCGGGAGGCACCGGTCACCCATGGGCCCCTTAAATCTCCCTTTAGCATGCTTTTGGCTTTTAGGGGCTGTTTTGACCAAGAGGGTCTTGCAAGAATCATTAAAAGTCAATGTCAGAATGCTTTTTCCACCCCCCCTCTTTTTTAGACGGTAGCAAAACCTAGTGAAATGCTTAAGTGAAGCCACTCATGAGATGCTGAGCAAATGGGTGCCAAGACGCTTAACAGCCAAGGGAACGAATAAGAAATGTTTTTTTGTGTAGAAATGTATTTTCCTCCTCTTTGCAGAGGAGATTCTCCTCTCTCAAGTTTGGACCATTAAACAAAAGCACAGGCAAATGCTAATTACAAGCAAATAGTACATTTGGGCTTTCGGAGAGTACGGTTGTTTGAAAGCCTTTAAAAATGTGGTTAAAAAATGTCCTCTTCTCAGAGGTGGGCAAGAAAAGTTGTGAAGGGATGGAGTTTTTCTTACAATTTTCCTAGCAATACGTTTTATGAAGCCAAGCAGATGAAGAGAGAAGGAGTTAGACTTCATGAGGGCTTGTCTGCATTAGGAGCCTCTACTCCCATAGCTGTATTGACCCAGTCCCCCAGTAAAGATGCAGTATATACAGACTTTCGCTGGCAGTCTAGCTATACCCCTTCAGGTCTCATCTCTTTCACCCAGGTTTGCCAGTGTAGCTATCTTGAGTAGGCTTGCAAAAAGATTGCACCCTCCAGCTGATGTCGCATTATTGGCAAAATCCCTGATCTGGATGCAGCTATGCTGACAGAAGAGGTCTTCTGTCAGCTTAATTTATGTGATTTGGGGAGCTGGTATAACCCTGCTGGCATATGCGGTGTCGCTGTTCGAGGGCTCTGCTGATATGTACACAGCGATGCCAGCAGAGGCTCTATAATGTAGACAAGCCCCAAGCCAATCCAAACCCTCTCTTGTAGACTTAGTTGCTCCTCCATCAGGGTTTTCCCACTGTAGCCATGTGTTAGGCATGTGAATTTTTTAAAATTTGCAGTCAGTGTAGATGCCGGGCAAACTTTGAAGTGGGACTTGGTCAGGCTGTTCTTTGTGTGTGGAAGAAAGTAGAGTTTTGGAGCTTGGCAAAAACTGTGTCTTCTCTTCAGAGCAAATCAGAAGGTATTCTTTAATCACACGATCCAAAGTTATAGTGTACTAAAACAGAAATTAAGGCTATATTGCCAATTAAAAGGAGCACACAATCTGATCATATGCTTTTTTATCAAGCCTATGTAAATGTTCTAATTCACCTGATTGGTTATTCAGGTTTGGACCAGAGATATACCGTAATTTCCTCTTTCTATATATTCTGTCTACATCTCTAATAATTGAGAGAGAACTGGTATTATAATTATAACAGTTATCCCAAATTT